AGAAAAAAAAATGTGAAGAGAAATGGTTTGAAAGGGAAGACAAGACGGAGGTCGTTTATCAAGCGAGGCAGCGACGCTTGGGTCCGAGGAATCAGATGCTTTAACGAAGGTTCTTTATATCAAAGTGGTTTGGGTCGGAGTTATTAATGCATTTTTTCTTTTTTCTTCTTTTCTCTTCGTTATTTTTATTATTTTTGCTCTTTCCTCTATTGCCTCATAAGCGAATGGGACAGAAGGGAAAAAAATGTCGTCCATTAGTTTCAAAGACCGAGCTTCAAAACATGTCGAGAAATGTCAGGAGAATGATAGGCGATGGATTCTTTTACTTTTTTTTCCTCTGGCAATCACACGGTTGTTGATATAAATCTGATGTCTTGTTCGTTTTGTTTGCATTCTGTACGTGGACTACGTCGCTCAGTTTTTTTCTTCTTATTTTGTATAAAAATGAGACATAATCGAGGTAAAATGGTTACGTAAGGTCAGGTTTGGAAAATAATTCCAGTCAAATAATTTCACCTACTTGCATGGTAAACTGATAGTTGAATTTTATACCTATACAACAAAATGTATTATTAAAGCTTCCCTTTTTATTACATGTCATATTCGAGTTTTTCATTTGGTTTCAGAGAAAACCTTCTACGATTCCTCATTGGATTAACCTAAGACAGTCTCAGCAGCATCGTCTCGAAAACCAGGAACGTCTTAAGGCACGACCCCACAAGGCCCGGGTCCGGGGCCTCGTTTCGTTCTCGACTTTATCTGGATTATGATTTTACTAAGACAATTATAATGGTCAAATATTATTCTCGTACATATCCTCCGAAAAACAGTGAACTTCGAACTGCAGGTCAACCGACAAAAGTGGTTAGACTGCTTTATTATGTGATGACCGTTGTCCATATCTAGACCTTGGCGTTATACCATAAATAATCATTCAACTCATTGAGTCGAAATGCGGCCATTGGTGGAGCCGATTTGCGCCCAGGGTTTTGAGATTGAGTCAGTTATGCACATTTATTTGTATCAAATTACCTTTTGAACTAGTATTTATAACAATGCATGCTATATACCATCTAGTTTTAAAGATCTCAGACAGGGCCTACTTTTGCATAAGGACCCAGGGCCTCAAAAAGTTTTAAGACGTCCTTGTCGAAACCTCATAATGAGGAATCTTGTTTATGTCTAAGATTACAAATGAGCTGTCATACATTGATCTAATTTTTAAATCTTCCCATGTTTGGTTTAGTGCAGAGGTGGGCACAAATAGTAGCCCTCGGGCCACAAGAGGCCCTTAAAAAGTTTATTTATAGACCACCAAGACAGTTAGAAATCCAAATAGAAAATACTCTGTATATTTGGGTCAACACATGTTTGTGACCAAAGTGTTTCTCGCATGAAAATCAAAAAGAGTAAGTAGATGCAACTTGGCTGACATTAACTTGCAGGCTGTAATGAGAATTTTAACAAGCAATCTCACTCCTGATTCCAAAGGGGGGGAGTATAAAAGTGTGATATGGCTCATGTCTCATTAAACTGATTCTAAAATAAAAGGTTTCAGTTATATGGATGTAAAATTAGCACAGTAAATAAATTGAATAAAACTACCCCTGCGTTCTTTAACTTATGTATATTTATTGATTTTATGGTACAATTTATACTTTTATTGGGATGCAAAGTTAACTAATGAATTCCAACCATTTTAAAAACGCGCGACCTTCCGGTATTCCCTGCTTCCACATTTTAACACTAGAGCCAAAACAATTGCCCACCCCCGGTTTAATGAGAAAGTTCATAGACCAATAAAACAATTCAAAACATCATGGCAGACTAGGTGCGAATCCAGTTGTAGTTCAAATCCTGAATCCGAATGCTGCTTTACGGTGAATAATTTAGTATGCGTAGTATTTTAAATGGAATGAGTTCTTTCAGTAGCGCACACAGGAATTTTTCAAGGAAGGTGGAGGGGGGCGAGGTCGAAAGTTCACCATTCTTGTATCATGCTCCTTTTGATTTTGTCGATTTTCGGGAACAAAAAGAGTAAAAAACTAATTATTGGATAAATAATTTGCATTAATTAATAAAATTAATCATTAATAAAAAATACTTAATTAAATTTTACGTACTATATAATTAGAATTATTATCAATCGGAAAAAAAATCAAGTGCTATGGGGGGGGTCCGGACCCCCCCTCTTGTGTGCGCCACTGAGTTCTTTAAATTCTTACGTAGAGTTGGCAGCTCGAGAGAAGACTGTTTCCGATCCATACATTTTAAAGCATGGTCACGAACTCATGATTGGCATCGTTCCTTCCGAGTTCTGGTGAGAGTGAAGACTTGCCGTGTAGAGATGCTATCTCTGTCTGTAAATCTGTCTCTGTTCTAAGTTCTTCCTTGGCGTGGTGTAGGAGTTTTAGGTAGCAGTGATACAAAATTGTGAGGTCTACCACCAATAGCTCTTGTGTAACGTCCATGCGTAACGTTGATGATCAACCTTGCTTTAAACCTTGAAACGAAATTAGAAGCTTCATCATTAGCAACTGTTGGATTTTTACAAAAGATAAAAACGAAGGTAAATTTGAACAAATGTCGCATAGGTCTAATATTTTTTTTTTTTAAAAAAAAGACTCTTTCGCTTATAAGAGAATTTCCCATAAATAACTTATTTTTGATCTTGTCAGTCCCCTCTTTAGATCCAAGTATGTGATATATGTTTATACATTTTTTAAAACTTTTTTTAATACAAGAATTGATTTTAAGTACAATAAAATAAAAAAAATAAAAAAATTTAATTATATATAACTGATTTAGTTAATGCTGCTTTAAAACATGACGCATTTGTTTCTTTTATTCAAGTGTCCCAGGAATGTTAGAAAAAACGCTGAACAGTCAGTATTTCAGCCCGTCTTTTTGTTCTTGGCGTATTACTTAATTCCTTTCCCTTTCAGGTCCATTTCTTGCCTTCATATCTATTAAATCAATTGAATTTGTGAAGAAAATTCTTATTGAGATAAAAGTTCTGAAGCTAAAACAGTAAAATATTATCTCTATTTTTTTCAAAAGAAATCGTATTGATTTTGAATTAAAAAATAATAAAATAATTTGGGGGTACATAAAGATCAGCTTAACACCAGAAATGTATTTTTTTCATCTATTCTCGACACCATCTGGAAATACATATCTAATTATGTATGTTCTTCAAAAATTGCTACATCATTACACTGTATCAACATCCTTGTTTTTCGAAGAAATTAGGTCATAATTTTTTATTTTTCTCATTGAAAAAAAAGGAACACTTTTTTTTTAGATTTAGAACTTATGTTGCTCTTAAACCCTGTATTATAAAGAATTTGTTGAAAGGATATATGAAAAATAGTTCGTCTAAAACGTAAACACTAACACCTAACACTGTTTCACTTTTTGTTTAATTAAAATTGCGCTAAAAATAATGCAAATGACCATAATAAATTATCTTCCTTTATGAGACATGACGGAGACATCGTTTGGGATGGTATCTTACTCTGTAGAATTTTCCTCTATTGATTATTTTTAGTAACGTTTTGCTTAAAAGTGCTATTGGCGATGAATATCATAATTTATAATTACATTTATTGACGAGGATGACGAGAGAAACTACTCTCCAAACTTCCACACCTCGCCTATATCTGGATTTTGAGCCACATACATAGGTGTCACACAAGTAGCATCACATAAGTTTTTGTGTGCAACTAATTTTTACTTGCAATAGGATTCAAACTCGCGACTCAACAATGCTCAATACGGGTCCCAACTTCATAACTGTTTAAGTCTTGAGGTTAATATAATTATGACGTTGGATTCGAATCTTTTATAGGTTTAAAAATCCGTATATATCTCACTTTTTTCTCACACATTTATGGGTGCTGCTGCTCTTTGAATCATTCGAAATTTCCAGTGGTGAAAGTATAAAAGCATTTGATGGTCTTTCGGCTGATTTCAATTAGTGCATGTATTTTTTTTATTGAAAACAAAAATAGAAACCCCGTTCAAACAAAGTGTCATACGGAGCTTACAAAAGTAAGTATAAACATATTACAAAGGAAAGGAAAAAAATTAGTCATGAAAGACTACAAATATATTTACAATAAATTTACAGAACTTTTTAAAAGCACTTCTGGTGGAAGGTAAGTTGGTGAAGATTCGGATAGCAATTTATACTAAGTCTCTTGAAAGCCAGTCTTAGGATGTTTCGTTCTCTTTTAAACTTGGAACACAGAAGGAGCACATGTTCTACATTTTTTTCGCCACCAATATCACTATCACAAGAAGGTCACGGGACTAAATTAAATTTGTTCAAGTAGCTTTTAAAGTTGCCATGACCGGTTAGAAATTGGGTTATTTTGTAATTAGTATAAAAAGGATGGCTGACTGGTCTTTCATTAATGGTTTAAAAAATTTCTTTGTTAAACTCCCTTTATATATTTGAAATGAGTTATTATATTAAAGTTAGTACATTAAAGATTGTATAAAATCTAGGGGGAGATAATTTTTGCTTATTATACGTTCTATTCGCGAATAAGTTCTACAGTGGAAATATATTAAAATTATTTTTGAATGTTCAGCTTTAACAACAAGATAACAGCTTCTTTAATTTTTAATTTGATTAAACATTGATTGCTCGAAGATATACCAAAACTGTTCTTGAAATCTAATGAATAAGGGGGCAGCTTAATGAGTTGTCCTCGCTATCCAAACGGAATATGAAGCTGTGAAGATGGGCTACAGCTTGTGTATTTCAATTCCTACTATTAGTTCACGCTCTCCCTATATATATTTATTTATATATCCTGTTCAAATTTTCAGTCTTTAATAAATTACTTTTTACTCACCCACACAACAGTTCAAATAAATTTTTTTAAACTTGTAGTGGGTGGCGATGTTAATACAGCTTTTTCACATATTAATTCATTAATTAAATTTAATTAACAATTTGTTAATACCAAAAGGGTCGAGTCGTTACTGCCAACGGCCATACCAAGCTGAAAACATTGGTTCTCGTCCGATCACCGAAATTAAGCATTATGGAGCGTAGTCAGTACTTGGGAGCGTTGGCATTTTTTTTACTTCCTTATATTAAAGAATTACAATTATGGTTCACGTTTCCTACTATTAGTTCATACTCTCCTAATATATATTTATATACCTTGTTCAAATTTCTAATCATTAACAAAATACTTTTTATTCATCCACTCAAGTTCAAATACCTTTTTTAAACTTGTAATGGATGATTCAAGAGATTTCATCACAAATGGTGGAAGAGTATGCAATCTAAAGCGCACCAGTGAAGAGTGTTATGTCAATAACGAAAAAAAAAAAAAGAAAGCGAATAAATATTAACAAAAATAATAGTCCAACACCATACATAGAAAGGGAAACGGAAAATTGTAAGGAGAGAGAGAAATTCGGTTTTTATTTTTCCACTTAACAGTGTGATTCTGTCATATGTATAGTATACATATATTTATATTAATTGTTCTTATTTAATAAAACGTAACTGAAATAAAATTTTTTTTATTGCCCTAAGAATGGACTTAATTTTTTTATATCAAATTTTATCAAATTTAATCTTTAATTAAGAACAAGCAAAGAAATCTACTAAGCACCGCATAAAGAATAACAGGGTTTATACCGCGTGATTATTTTAATAAATCCTCAAAATACTCATGTGGAGTACCATAAAATTTAGTGGATTGATACTTCACATTTCTTACTTGTTCAAGTCCTGATACCAAGATTCATCTAGCAGAGAAATGGATTTGTCTGGATTTTGAATATTCTCGTAGGTTTGACTGAGATTTTGAAAGTGGGGTACCAGCTCATGTGTCGACTTCGTCATTTGACTGAGGTTCAGTAGTGCGAAAACGTGTTGGCTGTGGTCAAGAAACTTGAGTTTGGTAGAAGTAGACTAACCTAAGTTTTCATTATAGCAAGTTACTTTATATGAGGACTGAATATATTATATTGTTTGAATTCCATGTACAGTGCTTACTAATACGGTGCTTATAGTTTAAATTTATGGATTACTTTGTGACAGTAGTAATCGAATGGTCATGGTCGTTAATCATGGTCATCCGTTGTGTACCGTTCAATCTTAGGGACCTAAATCCTCACATTGGTATGATGTGGAAGTTTGGTAAGTTTTGATATCGCAAAACGTGACCAGCCCTGTTTTATTTTGTGATTACAGTAACTTCACAGTCAGGGACGTCTTAAGACATCTTGAGGCCTTGGGCCTCTACTCAAAAGTTGACCTTGGCCCCAGCACAAATGTAGTCCCCACCTAAGATCCTTAACCCTCTTGTCGGAACACCAATTTTTTTGCCGAACTGAGAAGCATCCGTCTGACAGAGGGATACGTAATTTTTTTTTTGAATTCTACTACCTTAAGGACTGTTTTAAATGTCCTTATAGCTCATGAAATTGAGTAGGGCTCAAATAACATGTGTGGGGTTAAATCAAGCACAACAATATATTTTTATCACTAGAATTGTGACTAAAATTCTTATAAAAACTGATTAAAAATTATTTATATTCATGTAAAATTAATTAAAAATAATAATACCAAACACGAAAATCTATTGGAATATCCGTGTGATAGATAAGAAAAATCGCCCATATCGTGAGTTGAAAAAAATCGTCATGTACCGCCTCGTGATTCTCTCACTCTGTCCAACCGAAGATGTCAAGGCAGACCACCCCAAAAATCACACCACGGCGTTATCTGCAGGCATCAAGGCAAATCATCCCCGTCTGAGAGACGGATGTTCCAGTCAGAGAATTAAAAGTAAACAGCATACGTTGTCAAATACTCATGCAAACAATAACCCGAGTCAAGTAAATGTGCATGACTTACAAACCCACAAACCGGCTCGACGGACTGCTGTCATTCCAATGAAAGAGCAATGAAAATGAATGATGGCAGGCCTATGCTGTACGTGGATAACGGTCATCACATGTAGCCTTTTCAAAACTTCCGTAATTACCAGTTTTTCGGATAATATAACCGGAAATAGCATTTGACCGTTGAAATTATTCGAATCATGATCTTATTAAATCTGAGTTGAGAACGATAAGAGGCCTATTACGGTCGAGGCCCTGGGCTTAAGACGTCCTTATTCCCAATAAAACTTTTTTTTAAAAAAAAGTATTGTTGATGAGAATATAGTTTAATTTTGAATCATTACTAAGCAGGAAGAGTCATCTCTGCTCTTGTCTTTTATTCTCTCAACATCTTCAACGCGTTATACAAGAACCTTAAGGCTCGAGAATATTTAAAGCGCGGGATTTCTTATTCCATACCTCAGTTTGCTTCAATGATGAGACTAGTGGGGAAAATATCGATGGTGGTATAGGGGAAAAATAGACCAGGGCTCTTGAAAGGAGTTTTAAGAACCATTCTTCTATTTGATGTAGGTGAAGAGGACTGAACGGGTAGATGCTGTCAGGGGAAGGAAAAAGAACATTTATTCTCTTTTCCATCCTCCTCTTCTCATGCCAGAGGGGGCGAGCAGTCTTTTTCCTTCATTTTTTATTTCTTTGTAATTTTTTTCTTTAATGTTGGGAAAAAATGTATATGCGAGAAAGTATGGATTTAATTTATACGTTATTTATTTTATGTTGAAAGGACACACATATTTTATATTTGAAAGGAGAATTTTTACATGTGTGTGTGCAAAAGTGTTCTGTTTCAAAATTTAATATTAATTCACGTTGATGAATAAAAATTACCTATACACATTTAAGAATGTTGTTGCAAAATGTAAAAGATTGAACTATAAACGTGTGAATCATTTTTCAAGCAGAAAAATTTATTTCATGAAAATTCACTACATAGTAATTCATGCGTCCATAAAATTTCAAAACGTTTAATAAAAAAAAGCAATTTTTATTTAAAAATATAAAATAAAACCTCTTTTAGCATGTTACAGAGTAGATGAGAAACCACGCGACGTAGATGAAAAACACTTTTTATACCAGAAAAAAATGGATCATATCAGATGTTAGTATATAGTGTAAAAAAATATAATATAAATGATGGCAAAGTATCGTGTAATCTTAATGATTTCCTAACTGAAATAATCTATCTTGTATCTTAAATATTAATCTAAAACAGCTTTTAAATGAAGCAATTAAAGAACTTGATGTTATAATAAGTAATTTACAAGGATAGGAACTGTTTTTTCATTTAGTTATCTATGGATATCAAGCAAATAATTTTAAGAAAGGAAGAAAAATATTCTTGGTATTTTATTCTAGATTTTGTAAAATGAATAGAAACAAATATGCTTTCAATCAGAATAAAGTAATGTTATTCTTTTTTTCTCAAATTATTTCCTGGAAAAAGTTAATATTATTCCTATATCTTTCGTTCTTAGAACAGAGAAAATATGACTAATATTCTCCCCAATGGAACTTTTTGGGCGTGGTGTGGACGTTTGGAGAGTGAGAATATAGCTCGAGTGTCGTCCTCGTCACTTGACCGCGATTGAAAATTGAGGTCCATCGATAATAGCCCTCGTGTAGCTTCCAATGATGAAATTAATAAGCTATCGATCATGAAGCTTTTTGGTGGGAACTCTTACAATTCTTTTCAAATTCTTTAAATAAAAAAAAGAGAACTCAGTAAAAATATTTCCCTTTAAATGAAGTACAAACGACTGAAAATGTTTCTTTAATTTTTCAGTTGATTAAATAAAAATAAAGGAATGTTTTAATAACTCTTCATTTTTTTAAAATGACAGAATTTTTAAAATTAGTGTAGTTGTGATGAGTTGTGTGAACATAATTAAAGGTTATTTTTAGTTTTCAATTGAATTTTAAAAAATTAATTATGCACTTAGTTTTGATTTTCATAAAAAAGTACCTGTTCAAGAAAATGCACAGTAAAAAGAAATACAATTTTATTAATCATTATCCTGGCATCAATTTACTATACAATACAACTACTACTAAAAATAGTTTTTTGCCTGAGCCAAATAGTATTTTATAAATTAACGGTCCCCAAGTTCACTTTTTGCTTAACTTAATGATTTGATTTCTTGAACTTGTATATTGTTATTCGTGACTCTCACAAATATTGATTCAAATAGAATTTTATGAATTACTTAGAATTTGAAGTTTACTGTTTATAGTTTTTGAAAGTAGTTCAGATTTATAATGAACACAAGTTTTTTTGTTCCATTTTGACATTTTTTTATCAGCATTTGTATTGGTAGTGTTTATAAATATTTTTAGAATTCTTTTATCATAGATATGAATAATTTTTACTTTTCGATATTTTGATTTCCTAATGGATTTTAGCTGTCAAAACATCAACCTTCATTTGATTTACAAATAGATTTGCGAGAAAAGAGTTACATAGTTAAAATTTTAACCATTATATATATTTATTGAACAGCTAAATTATTAATTTATGTAAAATTGCAATCTTAAAACCACAAATAACCCAAACTATAATTTTTAGATACCCTTACCCCCTATTGTAATACATATTATTTTTCATTGGCATTGAAATTATATTAAGAGATGAATTTTTTTTTGTCTGTTGAATTTCCTGACCACTAAGAATTTAAGGCAAGTTTTTTTTTAAAGAAAAAAACTTTAATATTTGTATTTTTCATTCGCGAAAGACTTAATATTATTGAATATTTTTAATTTGAGGTTTTTACTCATATACTTAGTAAACTATGATTTACTGAAAATTTTTAAAACGAAATTTGTTAAGGCCCTTGATGAAATTAATTGGTTTTAATATTCATATTTAACACTAAGAATGTTTTTTTTGAAATTATTTTGATTATAATTTTGATTTTAGATAAATTTGTAATGAATTAATTAAATGGTTAAAACTTTCTTTATAAAGCAGACTTTGGTTTTTAAAACTATTTTAAGTATGTGGAAACAGAAATGTATTTTTTTTCTTTACATATAGCTTATTTTTATATCTAAAAAATATTTCTGCATATATAAGTATAAAACAATGTTTTATAATTATATATGTACAGTCTATGTAGATTATTTTTCAATAATCCTTAATACATTTAAGCAGC